TTCTTCCCTGACCAGAGGCCCTTCTCCAGCACCCCCAGAAGTGACCGTCCCACCACAGGACACAGTGCTCCCACCTTCTCAGAGAGGGGTCTTCCTGATGCGACCATTGTTCTTGATGCTGAGCTGAGAGAACGTTCCTGTGACATCCAGACAGCGCAGCTTTGGATGAGGACACACTCTGGGTGTGCCTGCTGTGTCCTAGGGTCCCCACTCATTCTTAAGAAGATCATGGTGGTGTCTGTCTCCCAGGATGGCTCCAGGGTCATGCAGTGACCACCCAGTGGCGGGAGAGGTGGATTCACTGCTAGGCTGGGGAAGCTCCATAGCAGACCCTTCCAAGGGGGAAGGCAGAAGCTATGGGGTCACGTGGTCATGGGGTTTGGGTATTTTGGAAAAGTGAGATATTTGAGCTGCAATTTGTTCAGTCCGCTGTGAGGGCTGCTTCAGCAAAGCGTCCTTTATGGGATGGTTTCAACAACAGAGACCTAGTCCCTCTCAGCGCTGGGGGATGAGGTGCAAGATCAAGTTATAGGCAGCACTGATTCCTCCGGAGGCTGCTCTCCTCGACAGGCAGGGGGACATTGTCCCTGTGTCCTCACATGGTGTCCTCTCTGCTTGTCTGTGTTCCGATCCCTTTTATCAGGACATGGGCCACACTGGAAGAGGCTCTGCCCTAGTACCTCGCTTTACCTTAATGATCCCTATAAAACCCCATCTCAAACACTGGAAGTGCAGGGGAATAGGACTTCACACTTGGGTCTCAGGGGAACACAACTCAGCCAAGGGCTCCCTCTCACCCTCTAGTCTCTTTCCCTGACTTCCTGTCATCACACCTCCTCTTGTATCTGAAGTGGTTGGTGTCAGATCAGTCGGGGCAGGCAATGGCCAAAGGAGGCAGATTTAAAAGGGCAGCTGAACAGGCTTTATTGAGATATCACTCCCGGGCGGAACTCGATCAGACCCACAGAGGGGACAGGAGAAGGGTCTGAGGAGAAACCGCGTGGAAGCTCGACTGGACTGGACTTTTATGGGGCTTATAGCAGGAAGGGAAGGTCTTGGGACAGGAAAAGGTGTTTCTAGGGTCCCTTGCCCCCTTGAAGTTGGTCAGGGGATTTGGCTGAACTCCAGGATTGGCCAGGGGGGTCCTGTTGATTGACAGGCGTTAGTCAGGAGATCTGGCTGATTGACAGGCGTTTCTGCCGGCATCTGATTGATGTTCTTTTTCTGCGTGGGCTGCTTTGTTCTAAGTTGCCACTAAGTTGCCACCAAGTTGCCACCAAATCGCCACCACCTACCTAACAGTTGGAGAGTCCGAGAAGATTTGGGGAATGCAGATGAAGGGACACTGAGTCGGGGTGCCTTGGTTCGCGTTCAGTGGGGTGTGTTTATATGGTCTGAGCCAATCTGTGCAAGTCCAGTTACTGCTGGCTGAGAGGTGCCGTGGCTTCCAGATGTGCCTCCCACCCTTTGTGCCAACCCACAGGTATCAGGCCAGGAATGTATTCTATGGTGCCCGGCGTCAGAAGTATACAGACAGAGGAAGAGACGAGATGCTTAAAGCACAATCCTCCCAGTGCCGGACAGGGGTCTGCAGACCTTCAGTGCCACAGGGCAACCTGGGATCACCTGATCCTGGACCCAACTGGCTTCGGTTGTCTCTGGAGTCACTTGGGGTACTCGGTCAAATGCCAGTCCCTGGGCCCTGCACCTTAGGCTTTGTTCAGCAGGACACAGGAGCCCAGGCACCTGTACTCACCATCTTCTTCCTCAGGTGCCCACGATGGGGGCTGAGGGTTAGGATGCACCGAGCGAACCCTCTGCAGGTTTGAAACTGCACAGTTGCCTTTTGTCGTGAAAATTATTAAAATCACAATAAGAAAACTGGAGGAAACGTAATTCTTCCAAAACTTAGCATTCATTTATGGTAGAAAGACGGTAGTTTTTCCCGATTTGAAAACAATTCCCCAAAAGCACATGCCACTGCCATTAAAGAGCCAGGAGGCTGGGAGCAGGTTTTCTAACACTAACCCTATTTTTTTTCCCCCAGCATCACAGGAGAACTCTGACTTGTCTTTCTGCTTTGTCCTTAGAAAAATATAAAATTATTATTCCACGAGGAGGCAACCAAAAGGATGAAGCTGGAAAATGTAGAAAAAAGATATCATACAGATGCATGCCAGAGAGTTAGTAAAATTATGTTTTTTTTCCTGGATTTTGTAATGTTTGTGATATTGTCCAACTTAAAGCATTAAAATTGTTGTGTTTTGTTATTATAAAAATTATTATTCTAAAGAATAATCAGAGCTGGGCATGATGGCGCACGCCTGTAATTCCTGTGGCTCAGGAAGTGGAGGCAGAAGGAGCGAGAGTTCAAAGCCAGCCTCACTGAGCAACACAGTGAGACCCTGTCTCTAAATATAATGCAAAATGGGCTGGGGATGGGACTCAATGGTTGAGTGCCCCTGAGTTCAATCCCCAGTACCAAAAAAAAAAAAGAAGAATTAGAATATTCTAATAATAATTATTCGAATTATTATTCCAAGGCTTGTACTTGTAATTTTACATTCTTTTTCAGGTCCTCCGTAACCTGGATCCACCAGGGCTGGTAGCCTGTTCTCTCTTCCTCACCAAGGGAGTCCTGTTGTTCTCAGGCAGCAGCACACCCTCCTTATTTATTTATTTATTTATTTTTTAAATTCCCAGCCTCCTTGGAAGCCAGGGCTAGCCACGGGATACTGTTCTGGCCAACGGGATAGACGAGGCCTCTGGCTGAGCTTCCAGGAAAGCATTAAAGGAGCTGTCCAGGGGTGTGCCTGTTGCTCTTCCCCTTCTTGACTGGAATGATGATGTGATGCTGGATGAGAGGCAGGCATCTCGCCACCTCAAAGATCCTGTGAGAAAGAAAATTACATGCTAAATATGAAGGAGTGAAAGAGAGATACAGGGAAGGACCACAGATCATTGGGTTTCTAAAGTGAGACAAGATGATTCATTTAAGCCACTATACAATTATGATTGTACATTATCCTTAACTGATACACATGTTTCAAAGTACCACAAACTGGGTGCTTAAACAAAAGGGAGTTACTGTCTCAGTTCTAAAGTTTCCAGGGGCAGCAGGGTGGCTTCCTCGGAAGGTGGTTGGGAGGTCTATTCCGGACTTCCACCCTCCTCTCATGGCTTGCTGCCCATCTTGAGCTCGTCGGCTAGCTGATGAGCCATGGACCTTGACCCGTCTCTCCCTGTGTGTGTCTATGCCCACACCAAGTTCCCTGCTCCATAAGGGCGCCAGTCAGATTGGATTAGGGAGCAAAGTACTCCAGTAGGTCATCCCTTAACTAATGACCTTTGCAGTGAACCCATGTTTAAGTAAGGTCACATTCTGAGGTACAGGAAAGTTAGGACTCCAACACATAATTTTGGGGGAACTGGGGAGAGACACAGTTCAGCCCTTTACACATGGGCCTCATCCCTGATGCCTCTCCCTCTGTCCATGGGTAACTCCTTCCAGTTCCACCACATGGACCTCTCTGATGCTCAGCCTTCCTTCACCACCATGGTATCCCCCACTGTGCTCTGCATCTACACTTGTGCTCCAGGCAGCCTTTGATGATACTCTCAGATCTCTGCACAGATGTTCCAGGATCCTGGAGGTCTGCACCACCCCTCCAGTCTGGTTAGGCAGGAAGTGGCTCTCTTTGGTCAATTAGATGTGAGGGTGAGGGATGTGCCTCTATTTGGGGTGGGAGCTTTTAAGCAGTATAACTTGCCAGCTTTCATTCCTATTGCTGCACTGACTTTGCACACTCAGTTCAGCAGAGCTCCATCAGCGTGGGCTTCTGACTACTGTGAGCAGAGCCCCAGTGGCTAGCTAGCTAGGAGTGTGAGCAGGAAGCCAGCCAGTGAGATTTGAGCTTGTTAGTGTGGCTCAACTGATTGGTATATGTAAAAATGTAAAATGGACGGTGGTCGCACTGACCCCTTTCCAGGCAAGACTGTCTCAGGGTAAACTCCAAACTCCTTCCCATGGCCCACAAGGCTTAAAAGTGCTGGCCTCTGCCCCCTTCCACACTCATCTTTCCACACCCTCCCATTCACTTCTCTGTTGCCAGAGACTCTTACTCTTCTTTCAGATTCTCAAATATGTCCATTCTCTTCAGTCAAGGTGAAGGTGCTTACTGACGCTGGTCCCTTCGTGTGGATGGATGCCCTGCATATGAGGCAAGCACTCTACCCACTGAGCTATTCCTCAGCCCCCCCTTGTGTCCTTCCTGGTAGACTGTAAGCTCCAGATGGGCAGTGGCTTCCCCTCTGTCCTTCACCATGGCCTCCCTGCATCTTAGGGACTTCCTGGTAGATAGTAGAAGCTTGATAAATACTCTGGATCCACACTGAATGAATGGATTCCTCGCCCAGCCAAATCCTACCTCCTCCAGATCTGAGCTCCACAACACATTGTTCATTCAACTGTTGCTTGGCAAAGGGGGACTCCCTCGGATGGAATCCGGGCTCTGCCACCTGCTACTAGTCATCTTGATCATTTCGCTTTATTCTCTGACCTTCAGACCTCCCCCGTGTACAAAGGGGGAAATATCACACGTGATCGTTGCATCTTCCTTGACCACGGGTGGTCTGGGATGGCCGTGATCCCACGTTAAATATACACGCCCCCTCACGGTTGTGACCCCTGCGGGCAGGGACGAGCTTCCTGGGATCTTTAGCCTTAATTGGAAAGCCCTTTCCGGGTGTCGCTCTGACCCAGGGAGGCGCTAGTTCTGGGACCCCGGCTCGCCCTGCCGGCCCGAGAGCCAGTGCGCACGCTCGGGCGCCGTGCCTCTCCTAGAGGAGGCAAAACCGCTTCGGGCGTAGGCCCGGGGCGGGCAGGCGGGAGCCACGCCCTCCTCCCTGACTGGCGGAAAAACGGGCCAATCGGAGAGGCGCCGCGGGGGAGGGGCGGGGCCGTGCTACGAACCGGCGCCCGGTGGCCGCGGGAGCTGCAGCCGCGAGCGTGCGGCACGCGCCGGCCGCCTGCCCGAACCCGGTCCCGTGTAGCCGGCCCTCGACCCCCGCCGACCGAGCCGCGCGCGCCTGCCCTGTCTCCTCAGTTGCATTTGACGATTTTTTTTTTTTGCACGCATTTATTTTCTGTTCCATTTAGTCCTTTCTAAGGCGGCGGCGGCAGCGACAGTGGCGAACGCTTGGGGCGGGGAGGGGGCGGCTGGAGGATGCGGCGCGGGACTGCGCTCACTACGCCCGCTGCTGCTGCCCGGCTCAGGCCGGAGCGCCGAACAGGTGGGTGCAGGTGCGCCGGGAGGCGAGAGGCGGGCATTGGTAGAGGGTCCCGCAGACCCCAGGACGGGTGGGCGGACCTGGCGGCAAGGGACCAGGCGACTGGTGCTGCCCCTCCCCATCGCCCACTTTCTCCTCTTCCAGCCATCGCTACCCCTGTTTGACCCCCTTCTACTTGTGCATCCTACCCCTTGGTCCCCCACCGTTCCGTTCCCATCCCCCTCCTTTCTTGAAGCCCCCGAAACATCTCCCAGTCGCTGCGTCGCTTCCAACGCCCCATCTCGGTCCGCCTCCAGCCCCCCTTCTCCCTCTCGCCACCGGTGTTTCCACTCCTCTCCCCATTCCGCCCTCGAGACAAGGGGTGGGAGGGGGGACCCACCCGGTGCTCCCTGGAGAGGCGCGGGGGGGGGCGTGGTTGACCGGTCTCTTAGGTGTCCTCCCGGTAGGTCATAGTCCCCCGGACCCTGCCGAGGTGGCACAGAGGAAAGGGCCGGAATGCGGAGGCACCCCAGCCCGCACCCCACCCATCCCATCTCAGCCCACCCCACGCATAGCACACGCCACCGCGGCCCCTGCCACGCACACCCTCGCGCTGCTCCGCCCTCGTGGGCGCGGGGGAGGAGGCTGGAGAGCTGGGAAGAAAGACTGGTACCCACCCTCTTGCCCGGCCGGCGCGCCCTGGGCGCATTGGCCTCCCGGGTGGTGCGCAAGAATTGGCTCCTGCGGTGCCGGTCACCTTGCCTGGCGCCCAGCGTTCGGGCTAGCGACCTCCTGGTCTGTGTCAATGAGTGGCAGCCTCGCCTTCCTGGCCCTTGCTCCATCCCTCCAGCCACGCCGCTGTGGGCTTCTGAAGATCCGGCCTCGTCACCCCATAGAGGCCGCTTGCCAGGCCGGAGGCTTGTGCCTTAGAAACCCCTCTCTTCACGCACCCCAGCCTTTCCTCTCCTGAGGCTTGGCCAGCCTCGGGCCTTCCGCCAGCCTCTGCCCAGCTCTTTAAGCTCCAGGATACTGTATCTGATCGCTAGCCCTCCCCCGCCCCGCCCTCGCTGCGCACTCACAGGCACACTGGCCTTGGCCTTTCTTTGCTCCAAACGTTCCCTCTGGGGAACACCCTCCCTTTATCTGATGAACTCTTTACAGACCAAGGTCAGGGAGAGACCCTTGCGCCTCTTGGGATTCTGTAAGCAGGGCCGGACACTGCCCAGTTACCAAGGATGGCCTGTGCCACCCAGACTTGAAGGGGAGGTGAGCAGGACAGGAGCAGCGGATGTCATCACCCCTAACTCAGGGCGACCCGCAGGTGTGGGGGCAAGGCTGTGGGAGGAGCTGGCCCTTTCTCCAGGGCCAGGTGCTTGGGGGGGTGGGGGGATGAGGGCCCCGTTCCATTCACTGGGATGGACAGCGGGGAGGGCAGGTTTGGGGATGGGGTGCACTGGTCAGGACCCCCCTCCTGCCCCCCACCCCTCAAGGCTCCTTGCTTTGCAGGGCATTTTCAACTCCCTGGAAGCCTCAGATGTTCAGGCCTGGAGCAGGCTGGGTACCACCCAGAGGAGGTGTGTGGGGTGTTGCAAAGTGTTTGTCTTTAAGACCTGTACAGGTCTGCAGTGCTGGACATCTCTGCTCCAGAGTTGGGGGTCACTGTCACCTGAGGCTTTTCACAGCAAGAAGCCCTCATAGTGTCACAGTGTGGACCGCACACGTGAAATGATTACCATTTTCCTCCTTCTCAGACCATCCATGGCTTCCACTGCCCCCATGAGCTCACAGGTTCCTCGGCCAGTCTGTCCTCCTCCCTGCCTCCCTTTCACAGCCACACATGCCATCTTCTTTCTGTGTCTTCACAGGTTTTTTCCATACATATTGTTTTTTTCCTCCAAAATAGTTTCTCCTCTGGCCTCTGGAAAACTCCCATTGACGGGATAAGATACTCTGTGGCTTTCCCTGGTTCTGCCAGAGCTGCCTCTCTCGCCTCACACACAGTGTAACGCTGGCAAGTGTGGTTTTTCCTTAAGCAGATGGCACTCATAGAGACGGGATGACTGAGGTCTGAGGCCATCCCCCTTCATGGATCTTTCTTCCTGGGGAGGTGCTACCTGCCCTGTAGGAGGGACACTACCCAGTCACCAACGGGACTTTCTGCAGGGAGAGAGCATGATGGGCAGGCTCTCCTCTGCCTGATCAGAAAGGCTTCCTGAGGAAGTGGAAGATCCAGCCCTGCTCTCTTGGTTCATAAGGCGGATGAGGGGACATGTGTGGCTATTGAGCCCTTGCAGGGCAGATCCTGCCCTCCACTTAGCTGTGATTGACAGGTGCCTGCCATCCAGGCCTTCTAATTAAACACCGTCCTCCTTTGGAGAGAGTGGAGATGCCGGCAGCATGTCTCCAGTTCTCCTGGACTGGCCTCCTCCCCCACTGGACACCTTGGATGGGTGGTGGGTCAGTCTGCAGAACTTCTGCAGGTGGACTCACCTGTGCCCTATTTCTTATTGCTGTGTGGTCTTAAGCAAGAGGAGTAACCTTTCTGAGCCTTCATTTCCTGTATAAGTGGTCTCTTTTTGGCTGGATTAGTGTGGGGATCATAGATGGGGTCCTTGGGTACAGGTGACACTTAATCAGTGGTCCTGATGATGAGAAAGTGTGCAATTAACTGTGAAAAAGATGATTCCTTTAGATTTGTCACACAGGAGATGCCCAAGTTGGAGGACCTCTTTTGTCCTTTTCTAATATTGGAACTCATGATCACAAGCTCAGGGAGCAGGGCGGGGTGGGGAAGCTGTTGAAGATCAGCTTACACCCCATGGGCTCTGTGATCCCTGGCAAGTCACTTGCCCTCTCTGTGCTCAGTGCCTTTTTCTGGAGAGCAGGAGTGAGGGTTATATAAGGTAAATAGCTGTCATAGCTGAGCCTCCCACTCCTGCCACGAGTTCTGTGTTTTAACTCACAGTGCCACTCAGGTAAAGGGCGTGTGGGCACCTAAAGAGAAGCAGCGGGTCTCAGGGCTGAGGGGACACAGCAGCGGCCTCCCTCACTGGGGCCTTTGATTGACCTCACTGCTGCCCCAGGTAGCACTGACCCCTGCAGCACACAGCAGCCTCCTGCAGGCCCCGTGACAAATGCGCTGGAGAGCCTGGCGGGGCCTCATGGAAGCATGTCACCGAGGCAGAATCGGTAGTGGTCACTGGGCTGCTGTGATGAGAGGCTTGGAAAGTGGGACCTCCATTTCCAGAAAGTGTTATTTTTGCTCCTGCCTATCTGCCACAGGGCAGGGCAGGGCAGGGCAGGGGAGGAAGCTAGGGGCCTCCTGCCACAAAGCTGCTCCTGGAGCCAGGACAGCAGAGAGCAGGGGGACCTGCGAGGTCACCACTGTGCTGGTCGAGGCCCCTAGCCTGAAAGTAGAAGACAGAAGGTGGCACTGGAGGGTGGCACAGGTGAGGGGAGGCACTGCAGTGTGTTAGTGTTGCTCTTGCCCGTGGTGTTAGTATTTCCTGGATTGCCACAGGCAGTGTTGCCCTCTATGCGAGGTGGGTGGCCCACGGCATCTCTCTTAGTTACAACAGTTACCATTTGCGAAGCACCTGGCGAGGACGGAGGTCTGTGCCTGGGCTGAAAGCTACTGCTCACCCCTGATCTTGTAAATAAAGTTTTATTGGAACACATCCATGCCCATCTGTGTACAGGGTTGTGGCTGCTTTGCACCACGTTGGCAGGTTGGGGTGGGGCAGATGCCCTGAGCCAAAATCACTCCCTACCTGGCCTTTATAGGAGGGGTTTGCTGTCCCTGGTCTGATTGAGTTCATTTAGTCCCCGAGGGAGGCATACCTGCATTTCTCTCTCTTTCTTTTTTCTTTTTTTGGTACCAAGGATTGAACTCAAGTGCACTTGACCATTGAGCACCATCCCCAGTCCTATTTTATATTTTATTTAGAGACAGGGTCTCATTGAGTTGCTGTTGCTGAGGCTGGCTTTGAACTCGCGTGATCTTCCTGCATACAGGAGGTGCCCAAGTTGGAGGACCTCTTTTGTCCCAGCCTCCTGATCTGCTGGGATACAGGCATGTGCCACCACACACGGCTGTATTTCTCATTTAACAGATGAGCTCAGAGAGGGTCTGACACCTGCCCAGGGTCCCACAGCTAGTAAGTTCTAGGGATTTGGAGCCAAGAAACCCATGTTCTCTCCTCCACCAGAAGATTTGTGTTTTTTTTTTTAGCTTTTAATTGAATTTTACCATGTTCATAGAATGATTTTTATTTAAAAAAATTGCAAACAATTTCTTTTCAGCCTATCACCTCATCAATTATTAAAGCATTTTATATTTATGTATTTAGTATTTAGTAAACACTAATATAGTGATGCTTTTTAAGTGCACAGTCTAGTGGCATTGCTATGTGACCATCACCACCAGCCATCTCCATGTTCCCATCCTCCTGGGCCAGTGCCCCTTGCTGCTGGGGGTGGGTGGGGAATTTTGTAGGAAAAAGCAAACACTAGCAGATTGTGGTTTAGCAGAGAAAGCTTTGCCGCGAGACGTGGGTTTGAATGCTGGCTGTGCCGTCTACTTGCTGTCCGTGCCCCTCAGAACCCGTACAGCAGTTTCCTCACTGGAGCAGTGGGGACGACCTCAGTCTCCATCCCTGCGATTTCTGTGTTTGTGAGGAACAGTTCAAAGAACAGGGGAGGGCTGGAGTAGCGTCCTGCAGGGGATGGTGGCTATGATGCTGGGCCCTTGGGAAGCACCCTAGTGGCCGTTGGGTCAATCTGCAACTCTCCATGTAGCTGGAGTGTCGCCTTTGTCCTTTGTGGGGTGTGGAAACCTCCTCAGGACCTAGCAGGTGTCCCAGAGCTCCCAACCTGACCTTGGATGCCCCGAGGCTGCATGGAGAGGGCCGCCTGCCCTCCTCTCCTTGCAGCTTGGGCTTGGCTGAAGGGACGTTTTAGCAATGAAAGGAGCTCCATGCGCCAGCCGGGCTGCCCATTGTGGCCGTAATGCTCTTGTGCAGACC